CTCCTCATAAGACTTGTTGTCCAGACCCCTCACCAGCCTCGTTGCCCTTCTCTGGATGCGCTCCAGCACCTCAATGTCTTTCTTATGGTGAGGGGCCCAAAACCAAACACAGTAGTCGAGGTGCGGCCTCACCAGGGCCGAGTACAAAGGGACAATCACTTCTCTAGTCCTGCTGGCCACACTATTTCTGATCCAAGCCAGGATGCTATTGGCCACCTTGGCCGCCTGGGCACACTGCCAGCTCAAATCCAGCCAGCTGGCAGCCAGCACCCCCAGGTCCTTTTCCGCTGGGCAGCTTTCCAGCCACTCTTCCCCAAGCCTGTAGCATTGCATGGGGCTGTTGTGACCCAAGTGCAGGACCCAGCACTTGGCCTTGTTGAATCTCATACAGTTGGCCTCGGCCCATTGATCCAGCCTGTCCAGGTCCCTCTGCAGAGCCTTTCTACCCTCAAGCAGATCAACACTTGTACTAAAGCTAATCTTCTTAGCATGTCTGTATGTCAGTAGGGAGAGCTAAACTCCCCTAGGAAGCAATCCAGATAATTAACTGTAATTTAACCACCCTGAATCATCCTCTAGATGGTCCTTTCTTTTGCCATCCTTTATAGTTTATAAAGGGAATTTAGGGATACTAGCTTCATTCAGCTGCAGGGAGACTTTCAGAATATGCTTTCTTCTTTCTGTCTTTCAAAAAATGAACTGTTTGCTTTAATAACATAATTGAATAGATTTATGCCCTGAAAAGTATCTTGGTCAGCATCACACATGGAAGTTCGGAGGCATGTGATAAGTAAAACTCACAGTAGTATATTGAGATGCATTATGATAAAGGATGACCTTATTACTAACTTAGATCTAGGGAAAAAAAAATCTAAAACTTCATAAACTTCCTCCACAGGCATCTGAGTTGATGATCACAAAAATTGTAGGAAGAAGATAATAAAGAATTTTAATTTTTTAAGATGTAAAGAAGGGCTTGTGAAAAATTAAATGTCCCCTTCCCTCCCCTGTCCTTTCAGCTATGCTAGTTTACCTAATAGAAGATACTATCTCTACCTTCACATCTGTTTCTACCCCTCTAGAAGCCATGATTGATTTCCCAATGGCTTAATGGAAAGAAGCACCAAATATAAACTAAGGGATTCCTTTCACCAAAGCAGGAATGGCTTTTATGTCAAATTCAGTGGCTGCAACTGTTTAAACTGATGGCTAAAATGAAAAAGTTATCATATCTGTAGCCCTTGACACATTTTTATTGTGTATTTGGCATAAGTGCAAATGAAACTTCTTGCTCCATCTACAACTCAAGCACCAAGAACCACCAAACCAAGGGTGCTCTGAATTCTTTTCAGGATGTTGAGTCTGTTTTTTCTCTTATTTTTCAAGTGCTTGGATTCTGACCTACTCAAGTCAGGAGTCCTATTCCAGAGTTAGTGGCTTTGACCTTTATGCATTCCTTTATGAAAAACTTTCTGTAATAAGGTCTTGTTTGCCATCGCCTGAATGGGAAGTGAGACCTTCAAAATCAATTTCAGACAGCAGGCCTGCTGGTCAGAGATAAGTATCTTGTTCTGCCAGACTGTACAATGCTTCAAACCAATTTCTTGTCCATTTCTGAAAGATTCCCCTCAATTGAAACAGAAAAATAACAGTAAATACTTTTCTAAGCTACAGATTTTCTCAGTGAACATTATTTCATTTCAGTTAGCTACTACTGATAGGTGGGAATTAAATATATACTGACTGGACTAAAATAGAAATTCTGAGAATGTGGAACTTTTATTTACTATGCTCTTGAACAACATAATCCAATAATATAGCAGGTGGGAGAAATATTTATCTTTATAGGCATCTATATCTATACAAATATTTAAACAACCGTTTAACAGCTTCTTCTTGCAACTCATGGCAAAAGGGAGTGTTTTCCCAAGAAGTACAGGCCTTAAACGAGAACATGATGTTAAACTGTAAAGTTAGATAGATATATACTGGTCTGGTTTATACTAATTTTACGGAATTGTATTCCTGTTAACTTCAATGCAAGTACTTCCCTTTTCATCAGTTTAAGCAAGTTTGGAATCAAACCACAAGCCTTTAATGAGGTTTTAATGATCCACTTGGGGGAGCTAAAGGGTAATTTGTTTCCGAATTGATTATGGCAAAATATTTGGGATGCAAAATTAAGTTACAGAAGACAATGTGAGCAGAGACTTCCACTTTTTTCAACTCAGTGCTGGTTGTTAATCCATATTAGCTTCTGGAGCAAAGGGTCCCCAGTTCTTATTAAAATTCCAGCCACTTATAGAAAAAAGACTCACAGTTATAAATAGCTTAGCAGCAGACACCCATAACAGCATCAATCATATCCTGACTTCAATTATACACCTACAACATACATTGAATGCAACAGACATAACATGTAAGGCAGACTTTGGTCCTTACTCTTACTCTACATTTTTGTGCTAGTTAACATTAACTGTAACGTGACAGTAAGAAAAGAAATTCTAACATGCAATGGTTTTGTCTTTCAGTTAATATGAAATACCTCCTTTTTTTTTTCTTTTTTTTTTTCCTTTTCTTTAAATGCTGGTCTTGAGCTGTATCTGCTTGTGCCTCCTGCAGCAGTTACTGTGTTGAAACATGGCTTTGCATCATCATTATGTTCTCCATTTCTCCAGCCTGGGACACATTGGGAACTGTTTCCCAGTATAAAGCCATATCAGCTGCTCTATCTTATGCTTGATTGCCTATGGTTACTGGTAGCCCTTTGACTCTTCTGGAAGTTAAGCACTGATTAGAGGCAGAGATGCAGTATCTCCTTTATGGGAAGGAAAAGCACAGCCTTTTGTCTGTGAAGAGCCCATAAAATATGACGTTGGGCTTTTCTCCATGTAGGGATTGCCCTAAAGTTCAGCTAAACTGACAATACAGTTGATTTCAAAAGCCACAGCAGATCCAAAGCTATAATCATCTATCTTTTATAAAAGGAAACAGCTCCGTTTCAGACACATAACTTACATGAAAATTCCATTGGCAAAGCTGTACTGTCAATGTCTTCACTGTAATAGTATAAAATTCATCTCATTCCAAATTACTCTGCAGTGCAGTCCATATTAAAGTTTATGGTTGCCCATATGTGGGCATCTAATTTAACTCATGTAAATAAAGTTTCAAGCAAAAGTGATAATTAAATGAAATATTTTGTTCCTTTAGCATAACTTATTAATTATGTTTAAGGTTTCCTTGTTTTATGATTAATTTAGCCAGAGCATGTGGAAAAAGTAGACTGTAAGTCTCTTTACAAGAAGTACTGTTGTTAGGCACTTTAAAAGCAAAGACTTACGCTTTGTAGCTATAAACTACCGAAATATATTTTTAAATGTCATTCAGCATCCTGAATGGGTGACACAATCATGCTGATTGAATGCTACGCTAAAGACAATGGCAAAGCAAATGGAAGCAAAGGGTACAGTCAACCCAGGTATAGGCATGAAAGCTGTAATCATTAAACAGTACTTGATGACAGTATTTGTAGTGCAGTTTGCTTTTGTGCTTTCTCTTTGATATGTAAGGGCAAGTACTATAATGTATTTAGGAGGAACCACTGCTATAAATTGATCAACTTACATTAATTAATTCAATCTCCCAGATTTTTTTCACAAGGTCCATCGATGTATAGCCATTAATTAGAAAGGATTTGGTATAGTCACCCAGTTCAATGGAATCCAGCCATTCAGCTACAGAGGTGGGGTTGTAGCCATCGTGACCGATCTGCTTCATCTGAAAAACAAGAATGAGTAAGAATTAGTGATAATATTCATTAGACATCTTTCAGAACAGCAGTTATTTATATTATTTTCTTTGGGTCAGAGCTATTTTATTCTCTGATCAACATTCTTTTAATGATTAGTACAACATGAAACAATTTTGTGAGCAAAAGCACTAATAAAACTTAGTTTTCAATGGATCTTTTTCTTATGTCTGCTTGCCTTTTAAGCCAGAGTATACTAAGACTGTAGCATGAGTTCAATCTTACTACACAATGGATCTTTTTCTTATGTCTGCTTGCCTTTTAAGCCAGAGTATACTAAGACTGTAGCATGAGTTCAATTCTTACTACAGATCAGAGAATCCATAAGTAAGGGAAGGCAAAAGAGTGAGAAAGAGGCATTATTAATATACTGACTGCACAAAAATGTCAGATTTGCACCTAAGATTTCATAGAAGGCGAAGAAATTAGACTGAGGAATGGATCTTTTCGTATCAAACTGCAAATGAAACATATTGCCCTGGTTATATTATTCCCAATTTATCTCTCCTAGTAGGTTATCTGATATTTTGTAGTGGTTGAAACCGCACTATATTTTTCTGCCCCCAGGGGAGGCTTAAAAAAGTCTCTTTCCTCTACCTGGTCACATTTTTCATGGAACTCCTGGGAATTTAATGTATTTTAGATTGCTCTCTGTCTGTAAAGTTGCTTGAGATTGGGCAATCGAACCAAATATTATTGGAATGGAATTGACAGAATGATGTACACAGAAGCGCACCACCTGCATTCATATAGCAACACAGGCACAGAAAGCATAGCCACCTAAATCTTGTTTTCATAACAAACTAAGAAATACCACTGGCATCTTATTTTTCTGAATTTTGTTAAGCTACTAAGAAGTAAAGAGCTGCAATTTCTCTTTCACAATTGCCTCTCAGTGACACAAGTGAAGATTTTCAAGCTAGCCATTAAAGATAAAAATGTATAAAGCCTCTACCTGTGCAGCTTGTTAAGCCATACTGTTTTTATGAATTTTAAAGTTATTTGCAATAGTGGCAGAAGTAGAAGTAGAGTGAAGTAGAAAAAAATATGCAATAGCCTCAATTTTCAACAGTATTATATGCATATCATCTTTCTGCAGAAGTGTAACTATTGCTAACTTGGTAATACACTGAACTGGTAAACTGTTAAGAAGCTTTAGAGGTTTAGAAACCTTGTGTTTTGCATAGGATCTCCCAACTGTGCAAGAGTGACACTGCACATGGTGAAAGCCAGTCTCCCATTTCTGCCTGCTTATGTACGTTCCTGCTTTCTGAGAAACAAGGGAAGTGTGACAGAAACATAATGCTTTGAGCTTAAGTTTGAAGTGAGTGACAAAGTAATTTAAAAAGGAGAGAATTCTGATCTTAATATCTTGCCTGAACCGATTTATTTCTCACAGTTTATTTGAAATACAATTTGAATACAAAGCAGAGAAAAAAATTAAAGTCTGCATTTGAAAGCCACAGTAGTGTTCGTTGATCTGTCTGTTCAAATGCAGAAAGCCAGCACGTCATGATCTTGATCTTGGTTTCCTGCAGTATCAGAGAGGAGTGATGCAGGCACACTGCATCGTGGATATGACAGTTTACTCTTTGGTCTTTCGCTGCAGATGTTGGATATAAAATATTAATGGAAATATTTAAATGATGTAGTGAAATCATTATCTTAAATCATAAAGAGAGACAAGAGAAATCACATAATTAACAATAGGAATCGTAGTCTTTCAGGTCACTTCTGTAACAACGGAGTCATATTAGAAAGTGAGAGTTCAGTTTTGTTGTTGAACTTGACATTTTAGAATTTAGTTTCACCCTAATTTAGAATGAAATTAGATGTCAAAAGCATGGCAAATTCTTCTTTCATTGTCATTCAGACTTACTTCAAATCTTAGATTGACAGTAGTCTGTCCAGCAGACTGCAAAAATGTTTGAGGACCCTGGTAGCTCTGACTCCTGGGAAGCTTATTTCAAGAACTGATTTGAAATGAGGTATCCTTAAACAACTGACACTTGAAAAGAAAGGACCCGAGAAACTGAAGAAGAAAAATCTAATACAGAGAAGACATGAAGAAGATGTACAGGGCCCACAGGGAACACATGACTTTTGAAACATATGAGGTATTTTTGTTTTCTTTCTCTAACAAAGAAAAGCGAAGCACCTTCAAAACAATTTTCAGCATATCCAGATGGGGCATGTTATGCAAATTATTTCTTTTGTCTATTACTGTTTGGTCTTTATGTTTAATAAATCCTGATTTTAACATGATTTTTTTTTGACCTGCTGATTGAGAAATCTCATGCAGTCTGGTCCACAATTCTGGTAAACCATCAGCCTCTATAAAAAGCAAACACAGCATGGGATGTTTCTGAATTCTTAATTCCCACTGGAGATCTCCGTCAGGAGGGTTGTTAAAACAGATATCACTCTACTATGGTGTGTTGCAAAGGGCTGCAGACAAGCAAACGCAGGTGAACAATCCAATAAGCAGAAGACCGATAACAACTGAAATGTATGTGACAATTTCACTCTTTGGATTTGGTGCCAATAGACAAAATTGTCATCGGGTCACTCAATAGCCTACACGAAAATACACTGGCCTGTTGTTGGGCAGCAGCAAGCTCTGCAAGCATTTTTGCTCTCTCTGCCCCAGAGATTTAGCTGCCTGTGTTCAAGGCCATGTCGGGGGTGGTGCAGCTGTGTAGCCTTGGATCAGACCCATGTGAGAAAGAGCAGTGAGAAGCCTAGTCGGGGCCACCCCACCTTCTGCAGGAGCCGCATGTGAGCTCAGGTCCATGTCCCTGACACTGGCCCAAGCTATGCCATAGGTATGTCTGTGCCCAACCATGCACCTTGCTGATCCTCACCCACCGACTCGCCCTCCTGAATTGACCTTGTCCCATCCTTATCCCTGTGGATCTGCCCTGGGACGTGGCTGTCCGTGGTCACTGCCACCATCCCTGCCCTGCTTGCCTTCTGTGGGTGCTCCCTGCCTGCCCCACTGTCCCCCCTCAGCTCCCAGCCCACCTGCCCTGGCGGGGCAGTCCCCTCCTGCTGCTGCTATCGCAGAAAATTAATCTCAGAACTAGAATATTTGCCAGCAGTTTCAGCACAAAAGCAGTATTTTGTTTTGTCATGAACCAAGAACCAATGTCTTATCTAAAACAGATTTTCTAAAATGTGTCTAATATATGAAAATTAATAAACTTTCAGTATCCGTCCTCTTGTATGGATAGTTTTGTTCTGTCTGTCAATAACATCAACTAGCTTATTAACTGTCATTCATAGCTAATTGAATGTTTTCCTTTCAAATATTTATTGACAGATTGGTTATCTAGATGTGACAGTATCATTAATAGTATCTGCTTTTCATATAAAATGTTATGGAGTTTTTAAATAAAAAAACCCACTTTGAAATATCTGTCTGGAAGTGCTGCCCCTTTACTTTATTAGAGTTCCAGTTTAGTTGCATCTTATCCCAGTCCTCATTAATAGGTCATGGCTTTTGGACTGTTTGTATTTTTTTTTCTATACTGTACCATGATCTCAGACTCCTCTCACACATCATTTACACCTTGTAGGCTTCCTTGCTGATGCTATTTGCTGATTGATTTTTTTTTGAAAGAAAAAACCCCTCCTGTCTACTGACTGTATTTCCATATATAATATTTCAATCATTTTGCACCAGCTACAACACATGCACCAGTGGTGTCAAACATCTAAGCAGCTATGTGCATACTGTTTGACTTAGAGCAGTATAAAATCTCTAAGCTTCAAGTCACAACAGCCTTTCAAATACTAACTGCTCATAAATAGGGGCAGTATTGTTCTTCTGCAGACACTGCTACTAGTTCATTTGGTTGTTACCTTTAAAGAACAATATCAATGTTAGCTGTTTCATTGCAGATTATTTTAGCATGCCGTCTATGGAAAAGGCTAGGAATGAAGCCCATAGGATTTAGAGAAAAAGAAATGTTTAAGAAAATATGGTATAAACGAAGCATGGAAGAAGACACAAACCATAGGGTATTTCTCTCCTACATCCTATTGACCTATCACTTGCATTGCTTCCTTTGAAATGAATAGGAAGCAGAAGCCAGAAAGAGATGTTTCTCATAATAAAATAGTAATGTCAAGCAGCATCCTAATGGGTTGAGAAATACGATGCATCACTGCTATATCTATACAGTATTTTACATTAGGATAGAAGGTACTTGAGTTTTTATCTCTGAAAGGTAGCCAAATAAACATGAACGGAGCTTCAAAGTAATCACATATGCACCAGAAGCATCAAGGTGAATTCAGTAACATGGACTATTACCAGTTTTCTCTGATCTTCTCAGACAGATGGGGAACTAATGCTACTTTCTCCACAGGTAATATCACTATCTGGTGGATCTCAACACTGTGTGTATTGAAATCAAGCTTTTTATCCGCTGTATGATGGATGACAGAAAGAGATGACATGACTTTCACAGCTTTCTAAATGATGACTATGATTACAGTGAATTTACGCTTCTGTTGGTTTGCAAGAAAGATCTTCTTAGCAAGCACATAATGCTTTCTTTTAAATTGCTGGCCTACCTGAGAGATTTAAGCAGCACTTTTGGGAACTTGTATGAAAATATCAACTACCAATCTGAGTAATTCTGGATGATTGTAAGGGGGGGGGCGGGGGGGGGGCGGTACCAGTTCTTTTTTTCGTGTCTTTGTGAGTTGTCTGTTATATATTATGTACTTTACAAACATGATCAGTTGGACTCATGTTGTTGGAAGAGGAGATCATTCCTCCTCTGGAGCAGTGAAAGAAAAGGCGCCGGAGAGTGACACTTCTGAAGATCACAGGGCCTGGCTGGCACAGGGGCACCACGTGGAGCTGGTGCCTGCAGCGCCTGTGCAGAAATTGAGCCTGCAGTCAGGGGCAGAGAGGCAGCTCTCGCGGGGGGATGGGCACAACCAACTAAGGACCTGA